AAGAAAATTATACGCGTAAAATAACTTTTGCTGTCGGGTGTCAATCGTTTGGTTTTATTTTCTATTAATTTTTAAAATTTTAATTAAACCAGTCTATATATAATTCAAAAAATCAGAAAATTTTCACCACTCCCTACACTGATACCGACAACAGTTGAGTGAGTGTCGGCGTGTAAAAAATAACCCGCAAAATCCTGGTCAATATCAAGAGAGGATGTGTGCTGATGGGGCTTTAAATCTATGCCACCTTGGGTGGTACAATTAGATATATAATACAGCTAGACTTGTACATACACTGTTATACTATATTATCTCGCTATGTGTGATCCCCCTACGACAATCCCTTCCTGCCTCGGTATCGGGCTATCATAATGTCACAAATACTCGTATCGGTGATGATACTACTCGTATAGTACTACTGTTGAATCATTAGTCGCCCGTGGTAATACTGATGCTACTGGTACTGTAACTACTGCCTGCTGATGTTTAGACGCTGCAACTGCTACTATTCCTCCTGGTTAGTCTTCATTGTTACGATCACTCGCTACGAATTAACAACAATCTGAGTGCCGACACACTGTCATTATTATCCGCTTTAATTTTTATTGATACTCCTTATTAACACCAACAATGATATTTAAATATTATTTTCCTTTTTTTTATAACTCAATTTATTTTACATTTCAGTTATTTATTTATTTATTTATTCATTTATTATTATTATTTTATTTAATATAAAATAAGACTTTGTTTCTATTTTGTTACTACTCGTTACGATTTACTTTTCAGAAATTAATATTATCCTAATTAAAGTAAAAAAATGTATCGTCAGTCTTTGTTTTAATTACTATTTACATAGCATTTTCGAGTATACTAAAAAAAAAAAAAAAAAACAGCGGTAAAAAGAATTTTTTAATAATTGCCAACGCTTGCGTTAAAATTCTTTATGCCTACTCAAAAAGTTTTTACTCGTTTCAGTACCCCATACTTATTTTTATTCTGAAAATTAAATTACGGAAGTTAAACAAAAAATTATATATGAATGAATAATTCGGTAGAAGTTTATACTGAAATTTATAAATTATTTCTACTCTGTTTTTTGTTTAAATTATTAACTAAATAAATAAAAAATCTAGCAAAGTTATCTCATATATTTTCAGTCTTCTTCAGTGTTATGTATCTATGATTTAGCTGAAATGTTAATTTGTCAATCGATTTAAGAATTAATAGTACAATAAAACAATAAAAGTATCAAATATCTGGATTCTCACTGATTAATAATTCATACATTCATAAATACTGAAACAGAATTGTTAATAGAAAAAAGAAAAAAAAATTAATGACAAAAGAGAATTTTTTGTTTCGAATAGACTAAAATCTCTCTTTGTTGCGCTTTTTTCTCGAGTTTTACAACTTTAACGGCTAAAATGAAAGCTTTTAAGGTTGAATTTTCACGCAACAGTATTTCCTTTTAAAAAATTTTAGTTTTTTTAGTCCAATTTACGCGGCTCGATTTAAAATTTTCTACTCACACAGGCTGACTGTAAAAAATAGGATTTCATTTTAATTAAAATGAACTTAACGGGTATATAGAATTACGCGAGCTTTATATTTTATTCCAATCAAGATCCTCGCACAAAATTTTTACTCGCACAATGAATAGTCGAACTTACTAGTAGAGAGCTTAACTTTTTAGAGTTGGAAGGATTATAAAAAATCGTTTTCAGCAATTGACTTTAAATTTTAATAGCAGGAACTTCATTCAACAAATCTTTTGTTATCAAGAAACTGACCTCGAATCTGGATCGATGATCGATATTTTATATGCATATGTCATACAGTAGCGAAAATTGGTACTCTCGTTAAATTGTAGAGACTCTCGAAAAGCTTTTCCGGCTACACTAAAATCCACTTTTGCCAATCAATTCATATCACTTTTTATCATTTAAACTCTCATAACTGATTTTACTTTATTATTATTCATTTTTCATTTTCAATAAATCTTATTGTATTTCGTTGAATTTATTTTTATAAATTCTAGGATAAAAAATGTAATAAAATCTATCAAAATTAAAACTATATAAACTACAAATTGTTAACTCTAACATAAAAAAAAAAAAAATAACATTTATTATAATAAAAAAAAAAAAATTCTTACGATCAACAATATTATCAGTTTCGTAATATCCCAAGTTATCTCTTAATTCCACTTCATTTAACTCTTCCTGCATACTCGCGTGTCACTATACACTAGTAGAACCCACCCTCATCGTTCTCACTCAGTTGTCGTCTTCCCTCTTTACTGTTTTATTTCCCTCCCTCTCTTTGTTTCTCTGCCTCCCTATCTATTCCTATCTACCTTTTCGAGATTTATTTCCCTCCCTTACATCCTCTCTACATCCTTGCAAACATTCACGAAAAAAGCTTAAATGGACGTGTGTAGTATATGATAAGTATAGAAATCGAGAAGTTTATAAGTGACGGGATATCCTGAATTCTTCAAACCTCGTCTTCAAAGAAATCCACTACACCCTCATTTATCTTGTTTATACTTTACTTACTCTTACTTAATACATAGATCAACATATCTTCTGATTTTTCACACCAATTCGGCAATATTCTATCAACCCAGCTAATTTTAATTTATCAACAATAATTTTTTACAATAATAATTAATGAATAAATAATAACAACAATAACAGTTATAATTTTTTGTCAATTATTATTAATAAAATTAATATTAATATTAATATTAATAAAAATAAAAATGATAAATTTTTATAAAATATAAAAAATATTGTTTACTATAAATAACGCGTGTCAGGAGGTGCAAAAAAATAAGAGTACACAATAAAATTACCTTCGCGCGAGCACGCCACGAACACTTGTGGCGTGAGACTCAAATAGGAGAGACGCGGCCACCCGGTGGTACTGAGTTGTGGAGTTGAGTTGTGTGTAGTCGAGGTGGTGGTAGTAACACCGAACTGTTGAAGAGTAGAGAGAGTCCAAGTCCATGAAGGTGATACAAATGTAGTTACTGAAAACTAAGTAACTTTACGGTGTAAAATCTTCAGATAGTATGATAATGGAAGACAAAGAACCAGCAGAGATTGATAAAAAAAAAAAACGATTAAAAGTTAACAACTTATCGCAGCTTTTACGCTTTATAATGTTATTTCCTGAAAACACTGGACACTGTCAACCAGTAGTAAAGTCAGGATGTCACATGAGGAAAATCACTCTCACTTTATTAGATGAGTGTATGAACTCTTTGATGTAACACTAAATCATACCTTTTTGTCTCTTTATCGTCATTACTCTTTTGTTTTCTTTGTCAGGTTACGTATCGACCCTCTGAACGATTTATCCAAAGGGCTAATTACCGGATATTAAAAGCAAGGTTCAAGATTTTCTGTGACATCTTTTTTTTTTTGTTTCTTTTTTTTCATCAAAAATTCGTTTTATTGAAATCTGGTTAGCATAAGTTTTCATTTAATGGATTCTGCTAAATAAATGTGACTTACAATTTATTTTCGAAATGAAAAAATTGGAAAGTTTTTTTTTATGAATCTTATGAATTAAAATTATTATGCAGTATCTTAGTTTTTTCGAATATAATGAATAGCTGACTACGTAAAAATGATAGTATTTAAATAACTTAATTAAAAATGTGTCAATAGAAGTGAAACGCTATTATAAACGTAATTCTTGCCTCCTTAAATTTGTGTCAGTTTTAACGAGGAGGAGCTCACATATTTCCGGCATCACTGATATTCTTTCAATCTTGTATAATAATGAATGTCAACGTTTATTATCAAGTGAACAATGTATCTATAAAAAATTTTCGAACTAAATATATCTATACATGTTCTAATATGAAATGAGATTACATTTTATTTTATGTAATCAAGTAGATTAAGAAAAAAATTAATCGCATATTTTAATAATAATCATCTTCACTCATCGATGGTAGTGCTAGATCCAGAAGAGTAAAAAATAGTATAGAGGGAATGAGGATCTCTTGAGATATATGTCGTTCCAGTGGTGCAGTAGTAGTATAGAGAGTTTGTACACACAACAAGCGGTAGCTTGACGTATCCATGGCAACGCGCATCCCTACGAGCATTTTTCTACCTTACATTTGTATTTAGACGCATTTTCTTCCAGGATTCTTTATTTCTTCTCTTTAAAATCCGTGTAGATGATATTATTCACAAATCCTCTCTTATTTTTTAATTATTATCGGACTTTCTTCTTTTCTTTTCACTGTCTTTATTTCTTTTTTTTTTTCTTGATAATTAAAATAAATAATGGAACTTGACGACTTTTAAATACCAATTACGGAAAATTTATTATATAAATAAATTTAATGAGTTTAAAAATTTAGTCAATAAATAAGTACATAAATTTTTTTTTTTTTTTTTTTTTAATGTAATGACTGTGAGAAGAGATGATTTTATTTGCGGTTTTTTCTTCAATAGAATATAAGTTCACAGTAACACAATGCGATTGTTTGAATTCATTTGAAAAATAAAAGTTTCTAAAAAAGTTAAAAAGTTTTTTATCGTTTTCAGAATTAATTCAGAAATTTTATTAAAAAAAATATCTTACTGTGTCAAATCTGCCAGCAAGTCATTCAAAAATCTAAGTGCAGGATTCTATTCACGTAACAAATATATGTATAATGATAAAACAGACACGCGCATTCACTCATAGGATCAATAATCTCATCATTTGCAAACGCATCGATGGCGGTTGTCCTGGTACTACTACTCTTGATTATTTCATTTATGTATATATAAATATATAACGCTATTTTGCACGTACGTAAAAAGAGCAATGAATGATTGATTTATTTATATGTATATCTGATCTTCTGTGACATATATTCCTATATAAGTAATATATTATTCAATGTATTATAAAATCAATTTAACTGATCAAAAGAATTATCAGATACTAAAATTTTTTATCAGCATAATAATCCCAGTAATTATTAACTAATAATCGGAATTCGTTAGCTTGAAATACTCATTTCCAATTTGCAGATTTAATGCAGCAGGTGACACAGCGCTGAGCCAGCTTACCAATTTATTTTTGCTGCAAAATGATTATATAGAGAATTAATTAGTAATTTTTTCTAATAAAAAAAAAAAAAATCTTAACAACATGGATTAATTTTTTACCTCTTTGATGTATTTTGAATTAATTCCTTTGACATACAAGGATGAAGCTGAAGAAACGTCGTACCGAGAATTGGATGAATGGCCTGTGACAGCTCGGTATATCCCAGACTCGTATCATTGTGATGTACAAGCTTGTGTGCTAACTCGACGTTCACAGGATTGACTCCCGGAAAGTCTAATAAATTTTTTTAATTCATTATTTTTCACGAGTACTAAACGATTAAATTAGTTATTTAAAATAAACATTTTTGTATTGAAAGTTAATCGTGAGAAATTTGAAATTGATAACGATACATTACAATAATGCAAATGAACTGTAAGTGTATGTACATATGTATAACAACACAAAAGCAGTTCCATACCAAACATAATCTCTCAAAAAAAGAAAAAAAAATATCGATCTGTTAGTTATTTTCGCGAAATCAGTACTCTGAAGCAGCACTTTCGCGGATTAAGGTCTAGTGCCGATCGTACTTACCGGGCATCGAGGCTAGTCGTCAAAGTAGAGTAATACTAAATATTTTTTATACAACAAATATACGGTAAAAAGCATAAAATCGGCATTTTTATACATACCAGAGATCCAAGCATTGAAGAATAGTACAGGTACGCTATAACTCATGGACCAAAGTATGTGATGTTCCGTGATAAATGGGACTTCTAAATTGTTTTTAGCTTCGAAAGGATCATCAACAGCATTTAAGTCATCATCATCATCATCATCATCATCATCATCATTAAGCCCATCCTTTTTAATTAATTTTTTTGTAGATTCGACATTATCCTGACAATCTAAATAGTCTCGTGTTACAAAGGTCTTTACCCGACGTGCTAAATAAGCCTGAGCAGGTAGATCCTAAAAAAAAAAAAAGTTAATAATAGTAATAAAAAATAATAATAATAATAATAATAATATAATTAATGACAGCGAATATAAAAAATGTTTGATTTAAAAACGCATGTGCACAAACGAGAGAGAAAGTGCGCACACGAATAAAAAGAGAAAAAAGGTATATTCATATAGTGCAGTTCCCGGCGAGTCATTCCTCTATCGATCGGCTTGTACCTTGTCACCACGGAGTTCCCAACTGTCCAAAATTTCATCTGAAACTCGGGCAAAACTTTTCGCATTCTCAACAAATTCTTCCCATGTTATAGTACCTGGTCCATCCATCCATATAAGATATTGTACAACTTAATTTTGTTGTTACTCCTTAATTGAATGTGTGTAGTAAATATCCTGCAAGGAATTTCATTCATTATTTTTTACTCATACAATATATAAATATATACAATACTAACAAACTGCATACATGCTTTTATTTTAAATACATATATCAAATCAAATCATAATAAATAGTAGACATAATAATAACTCGCTGCGGGTTGGAACTGACATTGACATCGAATCAATTTCGATAGAAACCAAATAGACAGAGATACGGATGGAATTTATTTTTAAAATGAAAAAAAATCTAAATTGAAATAATTATTCGCCAGAATAATATATATATATATATATATATCGATTGCTCGAGAAAAATGAGAAAGGGGAAGCTGTACACCCATGAGAACAGCCAATGTCTCCCTTATCCGGCCCCTCGACGCCTCGTCAATTGTCGGGTATTTCGCGTCGGCTAAACTCGCTGGTCCTCGTACCTCCCGCCTTCAGTATTTCCACTCAGTCTATACCTATATTATTCATACGAAATCTCCGTGGGTGAACCCGTGACTGAAATGTGTCCGTGTGCAGTACCGACTCATACTCACTACTCTCAACTCACTTACACACGTAATTCACATACCATACATGCAAACACTGAAAATATTTTCTACCAATCAAAGCTCTTCTTTCCTATCAGGAATGTACTACATAAATAAACAAATCCCGCATACTCGACCTCCAAATTCAAATAAAAAAGAAAAAAAAAACCCGCCAAATTTGAATTTCTCAAATTTTGATGTTCAGCTATTTAAATAATAACTTATAAAAATCAATTATGTTCCTAAAATTTTCATAAAATTTATAACAATACTTGAGAAGAAAAAAATTTAGTTGTAAAAATTTCTGCAAAAGGGCGCTAAAATACCTTGAACGTCTGTCGTACCTGGACCTTGAAGTCATGAATGCGCGCGCAGTTAAAATTACCGCACATGCGCATTTTTATTTTTAACATAAACGAACAGCAGAAAACGCGTGTCTGTGATTACGAATTTTTCAGTGTATTTTATTTATACACGTATATATGCAAGTATATATATATATATATATATATATAGTTATTATACCTCTACACCCCTAGAAAAGAAGACCGTCGAAAGAAGAGAGAAAACGGCTCTGATATATACTACATGCACAATAGTGGCGTGCGCGTCGTACTCAGGCATTTATATACACGTGTATACATATACGCATTTAAAATATATATATATATGTGAAGGGTTTTTGAAGTTGAGGGGTGGTGGACAACGCGGTAAGGGACGTAGCCTGGTAGTATGGATGGCGTCCAAGTAATAATATGTCTGCACACGTATAAATATAAATGTATGTGAGTATAGTCTATGTTTATAGATATGAATGTATGTATACTAAAAGTTTGCGTGTTTGTATTTCAGAGTATAGCAGTGTGAAGAGGAGAGGAGACGAAAGCGGTGGCGGTAGCGCGGTGAAGTAAGGTGCGACGACAAAGTGAAGTGACCGAGAGAGGCGTAACTTTGCTACAGTGACGTGTCAGAGACGCGTATAACAAATAAATAATAAATAGTACTGTAATATATAAAACCATAAGTGATAAGTGATAAGTAACAATAAATTATTTGAATGAAATAAATATTAATATTATAAATACTTACTTGCAGTGGTGATTTGTGGAGAGAACGAGACGAGAGCAACGTGCCGGAACGTGAGTTAGAGAGTAAGAGAAAGACAGAGCTAATGAACGAAGACAGAAATACTGAGTTTGAGTGAGAAGAGGATAAATTTACTGAGGCAAGAGCGAGACAGTTAAATATATTTAACTGAGGGAGATAGTTTAGCTAGGAAGCAGAATAGCAATAGGTTCACTGTCGCCCTCTTCCACGGATTAAACATAGAGAGCGTCGCCGGGGAATAATCAGCAGCAACTAGTCCTCGTTGCCGTTGTCCTAGTCGACGTCGTATCCATTGACGTCCTCATCAACATATAGTTTCATTATTGTTTATTATTAATAATTACAACAAATATCACTAGTAACTGCAAGCATTGTTACTACTGCTAATATTATTATTATCATCATTATTATTATTATTATTATTATTATTATTTTTATCATTAATTAGTTTCGATATTTTAAGACACTAGCAGCATTGCTGTTGACAAATCGTCATCGTTTTCATACGATGACGATACAGTGTGCTTGTCCAGCGGAGTTTAACCCGCAAACGAAGCCATGAGGAGTTGTATAGCTATTGGTACAAGTGAGAGAGAGGACAATTGGTGTAACAACGTACCTGTGTGACGCGTGTTTTAATATTTATATCATCAAGTACACAGGATAAATTAGGGATTTTATTATTAATTAAATAGTTTTTGTTTTATTTATTTATTTTTTTTTTTGTTTTTGTTGGTTAGTTTTTTTCTTATTATATTGACATTGAGAAGACTAAACACGACGTTCCTTGTATTAATTTTTGTGGGTATTATTTTACAATAAGTTAAGGACTTTAGTGTCTGGCTCCCACGCCATAAATATAAACTTGATATATTTATTTACATACGTAGTAATTGTATTATATATTTATATTTTGGAGATTGATAAGTAAATACTACGATGTACGCAAAGGGCAAGGGTTCCGCAGTACCTTCGGACAGTCAAGCCAGAGAAAAGTAAGTTTATTATTAATTTTTCATTTATTTATTTCAGGATTGAGCCAAAATTAATATAAAACAATGTTGTATTATATTATAACGAACGGAATCGTGTTGTTTATTTTGGAGCAAAGGTGCCGGGTTCAGCCGACATGTTTATACTTCCATGCGCATTATCGAGATTTTGTAGATAAATGAATATAAAATATTATTTGTTTAAACAAAATTGATAAACATAAACATGCGGATTGAAAGCTGATGTTTAACTGACAGTGTGAAAAGTTGAGATGTCAAAACACTGTATCTGATAAACTAGAGGCAGTTTTTTTTAGTTTAATCGCTGTCACTTCGGGATAACTATTCAGATATAATATATGTGCTCTGATTCACACTCCTAAATATATACATATATAATACAACAATACTAAACACGTGACAGTAGGCTGAGATTGAGCACCCCTGGCTATGTTCCAGATAACCAACTACATACTACACAACACTAGCTGTAGTGTTGTATATATGTATAATTTTGTTCCTTTCTCCATCCTCTCTTTTCTCACGCAAATTGTTAATGTTGTTTTCGCTTACGTTCGTCGGACGTTTGTTCGTCCAAGACGCCCCCCCCCCCCCCCGTGTGATGATGCCGTTTCTTACTTGTTCTGTGGTTTTAAAACCGTGGATATATATATATTCCGTTAGAAATGACGCCGGGTCGTTGACACTCGACCGATTAAATGCACCTCAAGCAGAGCGGAAATTATTGGACAATTACCATGAATTCGTGGTTACATACTTGCTACTTATCCTTGCTCTCCCTTCATCCTTCTCATCCTTATCTTCATCCACCTTCAGCTTCTTCAACTCTCATATTGTACTGATAACATGTAATATACACGTATTAATTTTAAATATATTTCTATGAATTGTTTTTAATTTTGTCTATTATTGTTCCAGATTAGCTCTGTACGTTTACGAGTATTTGCTGCATGTTGGCGCACAAAAAGCTGCACAAACTTTCCTGTCGGAGGTAATTTTTATTTTTAATAATTTAATATTCCAAGAGCAAAATTTAAAGCCTCAGATATATTCTAATCAAGTGTAAGAAATACTTGAATTTTCAATAAAAAGTAAAAATAATTCAATATCATTTCATGTTATTATAAAAAGAAAAAAATAAATTTCAAATTAAGTTCTTCAGTTAGTACTACATCCTTAAAGTTTAACAGATTGACTTTTATGCCCTTGTTCGTGTTTGATGAAAAAATTAAGATATATAATGTTTCAAGGAAGGAGCACTGTAATTTATTTTTTTTTTTTTATTTTACAGATACGATGGGAAAAAAATATAACACTTGGGGAACCACCGGGATTCCTGCATTCTTGGTGGTGGTAAGTTAAACTCAAGAATTATTCAATAAGTATAATTATTTATAATAATAATTTATTCTAATTAATTAATTAATTAATTAATTGTTTGAATTGATTTTTACAGCGTATTCTGGGATTTATATTGTGCAGCACCTGAACGACGTGACTCGTGTGAACACAGTAGTGAGGCCAAAGCTTTCCATGATTATGTGAGTTGAACTATTATTTTAAAAATTATCATTAATCATCTGATCATTATATTCTGCACTATAAACAAAATAAAAAAATTTTTATAATAAAACGAGGAACTATTGGCGGTTGCATGACAACTAATGGGTTCTCTATTTTCTAGGGATTTGTAAACAGTGGTTATGGCGTTAATGGAATAGCTCACGTAAGTATAAATTACTAAAAACATTATAAATAATAATAACAATAATAATAAATACTATTGATTTAATGAATTATTCTTGACTTTCAATATAATTGCTTACTAAAATTTATAACACATCAATATCAGCATTACTGAGCTTGATAACTTATCAATTAATCTCTAATGTCATAAGTTCATTAATAACTCACTAACTATTAACTATTAAATTTATTATTATTTATAATGTACAATATTGATTTATACGTTTGAGCGATATATTTTTTAGTTATATTGATAGTATTTTCAATTTTTAATGAATAAATATAACAATTTTAGAATGCCGGACCAGCACCATCACCACTTGGACAGATGCCACCAAATGATGGTATGCCTGGTGGTCCAATACCTCCTGGATTCTTTCCCGTAAGTAAATTAACAATTATTCTATTATCTTATACACGTAACTATTTATTTTTTTTTTATCTAGTTATAATAATTGACGGAGTTAAAATTGAACGGGTATGTGATAAAGCAAATTGTATCTTTCTTTTTTTTATATATATTTCTTCTAAAACAACAATATTAACACTGTTCAAGCTCAACTCAGTTTCAGCTCGAAGATTTGTCTAAACTTCGTACTCTTTTAATTTTAACTTCAAATTAAAATTCACATGTTGTCACTGTTTTAATCACAAATTGAGAATAAAAAAACAATTGTTAATTAAGAAACTATTCTCTGTGCGGTCTTTCATGATAAATATCAATTTCATTTGATGCTTGTCGTTTGGTGGGTCATATCGGGATGCAATTATATAAAAAAAAGGCTTCACCCTACATACGATGCACGTTGTATATTGTACATAAATAATTTTATAATTTGTGAATGTCTCTGGGGAATATGGATTTAATTGAAATTTATTTTTCTGACAGCATTAATTCAAAAAATGAGGCCTTGTTATAATTATATATAAATTTTAATAATTATATTTCTATCTTTAAAATATGACGATACATTTCATTGACTGAATTTTAAAAGTTACACTTGATTCAAATCTGGTTATTATTCAAAAAATAACTTTTCATTCAATTGAATTATTTTCTGCACCTGCTATACAAAGCTCTAATGTACTCAAAATATTTATTCAAGTTTTAAATATTATACATATATAAATACGTCGATACCTAGTACTCTAGGAGGCAGGCTGTAGTTTTAAGTACTTGATATTTGGTAAATTATTTATTAGTAATTAAGTGATTAAATCGTCAGTATGTTTGTTATTATTTGTAAATTATCAAGTTATAGTGTAGGGATAGTTTTGAAACAAGTGTAAATTCCAAATTGCCATGCTTGACACCACTATTTTGTATTTATTATTTTCTTTGCTATGATCCTGAATCTTACGTATTATACGTATATATGAGTACATCACTGTAAACAATTCTATTCAACTTTGAAATCTTTGAATGATTAAAAATAAAGAATCTTTGCGTAAAGAATTTTTCCTAAATTATTCATTGGAAGATTTTAAATTTGAATGATAAACAAAAGTTGTTTGAGTGGTATATTAAAATATACATATTTACATATAAATACTTGCACTGGTCATTTCACTTTATTATTCTATTTCTCTGCTACATGGACTCAATGTAGGAATTATTTACCAAATCAAATTTTTTTTAGATATTAGATAATAGCCCTTACTCACTATAGAAATTAGTTCAAGCAAATACCTGTCTATACGTTATTAAATTTGGGAATTAGTTGATGATTTAATAAAAAACAAAAGAAATGGATCACCTTAATATAACTAATAAAGGTCAAGCTCTTGGGATTACACTAACAAAATACAGCCGCCCTAGAGACTAGATCATTTTTTTTTTTTTTTTTTTTTTTTTTTTTTTTTCAATGTGATCCACGTTATAAATAGTGATTTATTTTGCAGATTATTAATATTTTTATTAAATTATTTGTACGCATTGATCAAAGTTAAGGTACTTTTTTCAAAATTATTTTATTTATTATCTACTTGTAACAAAAACAGTTTTATTGTCGACAGGATTTGCACAACATATTGCTTGCTCGGTTCCTTATGTCAGAATTCAGTAAAATGTACAGTTATAAAAATTATTTAATTAACTGTATATTTTCTGAGTTTATCATATTCATTTATTTAAGGTACTATATACAAATAATATTATTTAATTATTAAATATTTTGTATACATTACCTTAGATAATTAAATCTTGTTTATAAATCAACCAAATCATTATTTGTCAAATATTATATTATTAAATATTAATTTTGTAAGAAACTAATTTTTCATAAAAAATTTATTTGAATTATTTTCAAATAATTTTAATCGCTAAAATCATTATTTTATACAGACACTTTGCTTGAAAGTTATTGGTCTTAAAATTATATTTTTTCAAAAAATTATTTCTTACAAGTTAATAATGTTAATTGTGTATGTAACATAGTATTAATAACGAGTTACTAAACAAATTTCGATCTAAGAAATTTTTTTAACACAAAATCATTTTTCCTAAAAAGAAAAAAAAATCTAAATTTGAAGAAAAGCCTTTCTAGTATAGTTGTTGCCTGGATCGCAGTGTTGCTACATGTCTGTCGTTTGCATTGCTTGTTGCAGAACAACTCGACAATGCGACCATCTCCGCCCACACACCCCTCATCACAGCCATCTCCCCAGCACCCCCAGCCACCCCCGCCCCCACACTCGCAGATGATGACCACTCAGGTAAGCCTCATTCAACACATTCACACATTATCAAAAACTATCACTCATATCACGTCAATAATCATTCGTCATTTAATATTATTCCAATACCGGTATTTGTGTTTTTATTTACTAACTTGCTTACTTTTCTTTACTAACAATACATGTCAATTGTCACGTGTTTCAATCATCATTCATTCATTCATTTATTCATTCAATCAATTAATTAGCGAATGTAATTCAGTGCGTATGTTATTCAAATGAAATGATTGATTCACGTAACAATTAAGAACACATTTAATAAGATCATTTCCTATTTGTTTTATGTTTTTCGTTCCAACAAATAGTATAAATACATATTATATATTAATTATAATAATTATTGTTACTATTAATATTATATAATAATAATAATAATAATAATAATAATAATAATAAACAATAACACATTAAATAATACCCTGAAATAAAGGTAAGAAACATAAATACGGCTTTTGTGCACTAACGCAGATTCATAAAAACTATTAATGCTTAAACATAAATACACTTAAGCAAACAAGGTAAGACTGGAAATGAATTAAAAATAATAACATACACTTTTCCAGTGTTAACTAAACACACAATTGCATTGTTCCTTTAATTATTAATTAATTAATAAATAATAATTTAGCATCTTGCCCCTTGCTAAGAAAATCCTAAGCCTGTATATTATAACAATAAATATTTTTCATTTACAACACTTGATATTTATAAAAATAGAATTAATAATGCATTCTCCTTAGAGTGTGAACCTTTTTTTTTAACAGTACGCGAGTATATATATCTACTTTTATTGAAACAATTAAATCAAAGTCATAACAATTTTAAAAATTATAATTGCACAACTTACAAATTTAAAAAATATGTATATCTATTGATCTAATAAATACCCATATATTCTTCAAATAACATATTTATTTATAGGTTTTAATGTTGATGAAAAAAAGTTATATGTGTTGTTTATTGTTGCAGTTTATGGGACCTAGATATCCTTCAGGACCTAGACCTGGAGTACGTATGCCACAAATGGGAAATGATTTCAACGGAGTAAGTGTTTTTCATTAATATTTTCAATTTTTAATTTAGATTTATATCAATTAATTGATTGATTATTTTTATTACAGCCACCAGGTCAACCAATGATGCCAAATAATATGGATCCTAATAGACAAGGTAAGAATTAATTAATATTACATTTTTTCTGTCAGTTGATTTACGTTTATTATTTTAATTATTTTTTATTAAAAGTATTGGCAAGCATAACGAAAGAAGAATGATTTAGTCGCATGTGTATCGAGATAAAATATTAATCATAATTAAATTTTAAAATTAATTTTACTAAAAAAGAAAATATAAAACATTTCATTTTATATATTATAGATACAGCAATAAATGATTTTTATTCAGTAATCAAATATAATTTATCAAAAGGTTGAATTGCTGTGATTTGGAATGGATTGGTTTTTTTAATAGTCTATAAGACAGTGGCATAGCATTGATTAGTATTAATAATTGATAAATACTATTTATAAATCAATTTTGTACAAAAAAAAATACGAATTTACAGCAAAATTTGATTCTTTGAATAATAATGAAATAGTATATTTGTTTTTTATTCTTTTTTTTTTTTTTTTTTTTTTTTTTTTATCACTATGCCACTGTAGAAAATAAGAGTTTGTAGCAATCAACTTGACCTTACTATTATATTACCTACCTGCCGTACTAATGTGTGCTCTTGTGTTCCTCAGGCGAAGCTGGAGAGTTTGTAGGGTGGCAAGGTAGGAAACCAACCCACCAATCGAATCATACACACAATTACATTGTCGAGCCTACCATCTTATTTTCTCCTCTTCTGCCTACTTTTTTTGTATTTTTATTTAATTCTGTGTTTTTATTAATTACACAAGCTCGTTTACTTATGCTTAAAATAATTTAATCACGCACATCATTAGTACTACTATAAAAATTTTTTAATAGCAAACAATTGTAACTACTTATCCTACATACCCGCACAAAACACATTTTTTCCTGTAAAGGAACAATAGATATTTAATCAAAAAATAATAAGCTTCTATTTGAAAAAATTACACTCGATTATAGAGCATCCAATTAAACGAAAAAATAACCAGAGTATTTGCTTTCATTTTTAAACATAAGCTTTTTGTGGTTTCATTTATTCAATGTCTCATTGCAATTCATTTCACGCTACATCCACATTTTTATCGAATTCTGTATTAATTATTGTTTGTTTTAAAGCATGGAATCCGTTGCTTATTTCCAAAACTCTGGTTAAAAATTTATTCTTTAGATAAGTTATCTGCAAAAAATTTTTTTATAAATCAATGAACAATGCCTGACATCCAAACGCCATTGTGTATTTTATTAATAATTGTACTTTTTAATATATGAATCTAGACACGCTTTAACATCCAATCATAGTATCAAATTAGTGACAGTATTAACAAAAACTCAAAATCTGTGTAGCACAATAATAAATATTGAATGTATTACCAAATGTATAATTGAATAGAATTAAAATTAATATTGAATTTTTCTGTAGGTCCGCCGGGTATGAATCCAATGAATCCACGAATGAATCCACCTCGTGGGCCAGCAATGGGACCAATGGGTCCTGGTAATTATGGCCCAGGTATGCGAGGCCCACCACCAAACAGTAGTTTAGGTCCTGGAGGACCTGGAGGTCCTGGTATGCCACCTATGAACATGGCAGGACCTGGTAGACCACAATGGCAACCAAACACATCAACAGTAAGTTTAAATCAATAAAATTTATTTGTTAGATTACAGCCAATAAGATGACAATTTTATCATTTTATTACAATTTAAAGCCTATGAACTATTCATCATCATCACCTGGTAATTATGGTGGGCCACCTGGTTCGACAGGACCTCCCGGTCCAGGTACGCCAATAATGCCAAGCCCGCAAGATAGCAGCAATAGTGGCGGTGAAAATATGTACACAATGATGAAACCAGTACCTGGAGGCAATATGCCTGGCGTAAGTATTTTTTATAATTATTAAATGTTTAATTTAAGCTTTGATAATCGTATAAAATAAAACCGTCAGCTAACAATCTTTAACTCTTTAGTACTTGATAGTTGAATAATATTGAATAAAATACAATAAATTAAGTTTACAAGTGAATTATTATTAACAGGATTTTCCAATGAGTGGAGGACCAGAAGGTGGACCTATGGGCCCAATGGGGCCTAATACAATGGGCCCAGTATTGAATGGAGATGGTCTCGACGGTATGAAAAATAGTCCAGCGAATGGTGGCCCTGGTACACCACGAGAAGACAGTGGCAGCGGAATGGGTGATTATAACCTAACTGGATTTGGTGGACCCGGTGAAAACGTAAGTATCGCCAGGTTATATTATTAACTTTAATATAAATCTTTATTTATTTATTTATTATTTTATTTATTTTTTTTTTTTTCATTATTTTGCAATCAATTCACAATCCACGGTCTTACGTATTCGCGTAGAACTTAATACGCATGCAATCCAACAATATTAAATAAAAAAAAAAAAAAAAATAATTTTTTTTTATTTTTATTATATAACAATATAACCATTGCTTACATCATTAAGGTCTTTTTGTCGCAATTGCTAATTTTACCATAACGCGTTTATTTTTTCTAAAAATAATACAGTATCATTAGATTTTATTTATTGTTATTATTATTATATTTTTTAATTTTTTAAATAATTATTATCACTAGGCTCTCGTTAATAACTGATACTGGTGTGGTAGCTATTGCATTTATAAATAAATAAATAAAATTTACGCATTAAAAGATCGATCAGGTATCCATAGAATTTCAAATTATTAATTCACAACTAATCCAAATTTGATTAATCAATTAATTATAAATATCTACTGCTGCATATAATATTAATAATTTGGATACACGATCGATACTCATGGCTTAAATATGCCTATTTATATTTACGGAATGACAGATAAATAATTTATTAATAAATTAACTCTAATATAAATCGCGATTTGCATTTGAAATAAAATTTAAAATAATTGCCGGGTTTATTTAAATAAATAATTATCAGAGTAACCGCATTCGTGCACGTTCTCTATTCTCGACAGTTTTTTTAAATCAAATCGCCTTGGATCCAGCTACGAGATCAATAGACACCGGGTTTTACCCACAGTGAGAGGAAGGATTCAGCGCGAATAAGTTCTCCTGATAACAAATATTTTAGTTTAAAGTTAAATTAAAAACAAAACTGAATAAATAATTAAATAACTGCACAGTATAATTAGAAAAAGAACAAAAAATAATAATGAATTAAAATTATATTCGCGACAAGTTAAGACTTATGCAAAATGTACAATACATTGTTATTTTTGCCAATTTTTTAAAATATCCGTGTTAGTATTAAGAAACTTAACAACAATTATTAACAGTTATTAAATTGCCATTAACGCCATACAAACAAAAAAACTATGTAAATGCTTTTCTAATACTCGCAAGGTTGCTAATTATTATATTTCATTTTTTTTCGTTTGTTTGTTTTACTTAATCTTTTTTATTATTAATTTACACCTTTGATTGTGAAATTACTTAACGTTCGTTATTATAATGATTAATTATCGCGGACTATTTTTTTCTTTATTTATATTTATTAGACAATGATTTCTAGCTCATAAGCGATGGTGCCTGATTTACGAAAGGTTGTTTTTTTTTTTTTTTGTAATCATAGTTGATTTTGTCGCATAATTTTATTCTTTAATTTTTTTGTACGTGTTTTCCCTGTAGTATTAATTTTTAATATTAACCTTTATACCGTAGATTTTAATAGTTGCTTTGAAATAATAAAATTATTTATTTTATGAAAAAAAAAAAAATATTTTTTATTAAGATTTAACATTCTTAATATTAAGCAAAAAAATAATGATATTATATAGTTCTTAATAACTTGAAATATGGCGTAAAGGTTAATAATTAATTACCAGTTTTCAAATACATTTAAGAGTAATAAAGATTTGAAAACATAAAATTAATTATTAAAACAAATATTCAAAGAAAAATAAATTTTTAAATAGTTCAATAATCAATTTTAAAATTAAAATATTCAAGATTCTAGTCTATTTTTTTGTGCATTTATATTTTTCTTTTTTACTTTTTACATTTGAATAATCAATACTCTTTAATGTAATCACAAAACTGGTACGAGAGAATCAATCCCTCCAATTTTTGCTCACTTCTATTAACAAACTCCCGTTTTAAAAGATGAACAAATCAGGAATGCACTTAATTAATCAATTAATTATAATTATAAAAATAATTAATTAATAATAATATTAATAATAATAATCGGCAACTTACGCGTCACAATTACCTAGTGGGCTCTACACTCTTGCGAAAAAATAGCATTTAAAGTAAAAAAGTATCTTGCCGCTTAATTGCTCAATTAATTTTTTTATAAGTTAATTAATTATTATAATTTGTACTTATTAACGAAAAGAAAAAAAAAATAAAAAAACAAACAGATATGTTTTAAAAGTACAATCGACGTCTTTATCGTCATTTAAAAAGTTGATAATTAAACTACGCGCTGTGTTTATTTTAATCGTCTATTAATTGCGATTAATAATCAGTAATAATAATAAATAACTAATTAAATAATATAATATTATTAACAAACAACAATTTAAATAATCAATGAATTATTGTCTATGTTAAAAATTTATTAATCGTTTTATCGTGCTTAAGGACACATTATTATGTACGTTTATTTTCACACAATTACTAATTGTAAATATTTTGAACGACAACTATCATTTTTAATCACGATTCAATTTATATTTGTATAAAAAAAAGAATAACAGCATGAATTTTTTGGTGCTTGTTTACTTTTTTATAAAATAAACAAAAAAATAAATGCCATAACGGTTATTAATAATATTTTTAATTAATTGATTAAAATTTTTCAAGACCATATATGTAGCAATGTATGTACATATTTTTTATATATATTACTAATAACCATTACATAATTAATTGAACAAACAAAGCCTATAATTGTATATTTTAAATGAAGAAATAATATTAGTAATCATTATTTTGAAATAAATTAGTAATTTTTTTAACGCGATTTATTAAGTATACACTAGTAGAATTACTGCGAGTTTATTATAATTGAAATAATAAAATAATAAATAAAAATAATAACGTTGCCGGATTAACTTGAATAATAGATACTTAAATAGTAAGAAAAATGTTATATAATATTGAAAATACGTTACTATTTTTGTATACATATAAGACACGCAATGTGAGTACTGAACCTTAATGAATGAATGAATAAATAATGAAATTATAACAAACTTTATTTCCAATAAATATAAATTAACATATTTAATTTAAATTAAATTTATAAAGCATAATTAACTGATTAAAATAATTAGGGAATAAAGTTGATTAGAAAAAGTAATAACTTTAAAAAAATAAAAAAAAAAAAAAACAAAAAAAAACAATATTAGAAAAACTCCGTCCGCAGGTGGTTATAGGTCAGTACCAGACTATGCTGTGCTGCTATTACGTATTATAAATCGTTTAAAAATATCTATATAAATAATTACCGATTTAATGTAAAATATACAGAAACATAGTCGAGTGCAAGTACGAAATTTTGGACTGGTTTTTTTTAATTATTATTTATGCCGCAATGCATGGCGCTCATTTTTCTCTATTTTTTTCCCCCGTTGGTCGAGACTGATATAATTCAAGAATTTCGATCTGAAGTATAATTATATATTTGCATTACGTTATAAATATAATAATTTCTGTCATTTTATTTGAAATAACAAATACTGGTCCGAAATATCGTCTTGAAAGCTCTTTTTCTTGATGGAAAATAATTAAATAAAAAAACTATAAATAATACATTTTTCTTTATTATTTTTTTTTTTATTAACTACAAAATTAAATTCTATTTAATATACTCGACGTCGAAGGTACGCTTACGTTCCAAGATTTATCGTGATCTGGAAAGTCATTTTTTATTATTACACTTATTATTGTAAATTATATAACTATTATTAATACTATGATCTTTTAATTAATTAATAGTCATTTAAACTTAATATTATTTTTAAAACTATAAATAAAAACTTAAGTCTTGAAGTGTAAACGGACCTTTATTATTATCGTTTACTTAATAAACTCCCAAGTTGTAAGCTACAATTAATTATTAAATAAATTAAATAAATAAATTTAATGCCTACGCTAAGGGAGATCGAGACAATAAATGTAATCCTGTTACGAAACTGACAACTGAGTTTTTTTTATTTTTTTATTTATTAATCCCTTAGGGTGCTGCCTACTTGAAGTATTCATGTATAATTATCTATTTAATTATTTACTTCGCGTATTTATAAAAAATTTATTTTTATCATTATCTTTTTTTTTTTTTAATTTTATTCGTTGAATATATACTGTGTTTCACGTCGTCACGTTAAAACCTTTCAATCCTTGTCCTTTTTATTTATTTATATAAGCTTATTTTAATCCTTTAAATGTTATTTTTTCTGAGCCCTTCATATTTGTTTTTTTTTTTTTTTTTTTTTTTATTGTTTATTTATTTAAATATTGCGGAACGCGTGAAACACACGTTCTGCGTCGCGTTAAAAAAAGACGACGTCGATTATAATTAAAAACAAAATTATTTTGAATAAAATTTTAGCTTTTAAATTTAAAAATAAATAAATCAAAAAAATTGAATACATAATAAAATCTGGTAGCTTTATATAGTACTAGGCTGTACTGACCTGTAGCACATGGATGCGTGAGTCGGATTGCGATTGTGGATTGCGAATTAGCAAATCTCATTTTAAAGTTATAAAACTAAAAATTCAATTTATAAAAACCATATGTAAGACAAAAATTTAAATCACTATGAATTTATTTTATTTTTCAATTTAAATTTCATATTTTTTTTTCTTTTTTCACAACATTTAAAAAAAAATTTTTTTTTTTTGTAATCGGTGAGGTGTGCGTGCCTAGGGGGGACTTAGGCCGCCTTTAAATTAACAAAGGCACTTCAAAATTAATTTTTTTATTTCGTATTTTACATTAACGTCCATGTGTTGTGGGTCAGAGCACCCTGTTATTACAATTACAAATCCTTAAATCAAATCCTTAACAAAAAGTAAATGAGGAAAAAAAAAATTTAACAATAATCTCAATTAAATCCACCCGAAAGAAAATCGTTTTTTATTTCTTCACGAAGCCTAACCCCACCGACGCACCATCACCACACCTAGCACGCACCCACAACTGTGCGTGGCACACACAAGAGCCGGTCAGTATTTGACTTAAAATATAAACAAACAACATTTTTTATTTTTATATTATTTTGATTTTTAGTTTTTAAAGTATTTATTTTTATTTATAAATATAATATACCATATATTTTATATAGATAAATAATCAGTGGACAGTTTTAATTTTTATTACAGATTTGTATTAAAATTTAATTGACTGAAATTTCTACTGCAAGTTCAATTTTATTTCATATTAAAGAGAGTAGTGCATGTACATTTTTTTTTTAATTGATAAAAAATTGAATAATTTTGTGAAACTTCAAAAAATAAATTATTATTATTATTATTGGTATAAATTTTAAAGATAGTTCCAGTTTTCAATTTTCCAACATTGGATTATAAAAAAAATTCAAATTTTGAAATTTAGCCATTTTTTAATTTTTCTTTATTCAATTTAATTTTTCAAGTTTTGACTTTTGTAATCTAAAATTTAAAAAATAAATTCTTTAATTTGAATGAAAAGATCAGTTTTTAGAAAAAAAAAGGTTACATGATTTAAATTTTGAAAGATAAATATTAAGTAATGAGAAATAGTCATCAAGTAATTCAAAAAATTTGTTCTCAACCTTTAATAATAGCTTGTAGATGCAAAAATTTATGATAAAGTTTATCAATCTCAAAATAAAATTATAAAACTGTTCACTTGAATAAAAATGTTCGTAATTTATATAAAAAGTACAAATACTGCTTAGAAAAAAAAAAAAAAAACCGGCAAAATGTAAATAAAAATCCCTGTGTGGGTGTGTTGCACGACGATTTACGTGTAACCGGCCTTGGTGTTGGTTGGTTCGCAGGATCAAACGGAGTCAGCAGCCATTCTCAAGATCAAGGAAAGCATGCAGGAGGAGGCCAAGAGGTTTGAAAAGGATTCCGAACATCCAGATCAATATTTCATGCAATAACTCTCCCCGAGTAATTGGAGCTCGCGATCTGACTAAAGAATTTCGCGACTGTGTACTCGAACGAGATATATAGATAGCTATATATGTTTATATATTTATATAAATGTATATTAATCTCTTATTCCAGTACCGTCCCTACGGATAAAACCACTTATTCGTCCCTTTTCCTTTTATATTAAGTTATATATTAATTAATAATAATTAAATAAATTTTTCTTCTGTTATCTTTCCATAAAGTATCTTGCCCTCGTTCCATTAAAAAGTCTTCGGAATCAAGGAAAAGGCGTTGCGATGGTGGCTTTCGCGAAATTCTCATGTCAACATATCTCGTACTAATAATAAAGAATTTAAATAATAAAAAAAAAAGAAAAAAAAAAACAAAACAAAAAAAAAGCATAAAATTAAAATCAGTACATGGACAATCGCAATTGTGTAATGTACGTACGATAAAATTTTAAAAAGATTGTCATGTATTTTTTATCATCAACTATCAATTAGTAATTATTAATTAATAACGAGATCTGCGAGATTTTAATAATTAATTAAAATGTGTAAAGAAGTGATGAAAAACAAACAATATAATAAAAAAATAAATTTTTAATTAAATAACCAAAACGCACGAAAACGCGCGGGATTTATATATTAATAGAATTTGAAACGTTTAAAAGAGATATATAATAATGATAATGATAATAATAATATTAATACTAATATCATCATCCATGGATTGGAAATAGATGTATGCACGTTTAACAAGTTCCAAATATATTTATTGGGACTGTTCTCCAAATATAATTATAATTTATTTATTAATATAATTTGGAGAAAATAAGACGTGCCAAATATCTGTAATAGAAACGACTTTTTTAACTCAAGATTACTGGAATAAACTTCCATAATTACTAAAAATTAAATCACAAAAACAATTAAAAAATAAATAAATAATTAATAAAATAGTAATAAACAATGAAAATTAGGCCAGTCTTGCGGATGAATCTTATCCGCGGTATTACAACGGCGTTGTCGACTGTGTTATTAATTAATACCGTTAAATTTTTATAGATAAATAAACATTAAAAAATTACGGTTTTATTAAAACACTTATCGATTACCAGAGATGAATTTAAGAATAAATAAATAAAGTTATTGTATAATTATAAAAATAAAAAAAAATATAAATTTTTAAGACGCAATATCGTGATCGACTCATTGTAATCGCGGGGCAAGATAAATTTTAATTGAATTAAATGACTCGAGGAATGGAATTTTTAAAGTGTAAATTTATTAATAATCATGATGATAAAAAAAAAAGATTTTTTATTATATTATATTAATATCACTATTGTACTATTTTATTTTAATATATTATATTTTTAATTGTTTTTTTTTATTATAATTTTAATGAATTGTAGAGAGAAACAAATTTTAAAATCAAATAAAATAAAGTAGGACGTGCCGTCCAATTACAATTATATTATATAGTTCCAACCTCGAGTCAAATACGGCAATTACGCGCAAAAATTGAGAAAAATTAATTTTTTAATAGCAAAAAAAATTTTTATCAACCGTGCGCGAACCTCACGCATTCTTTGAATTCACGCATAATTAATGACATAATTGTAGGTATCCTGTATGAGTATAGCAAACAGTAGTGTAAACAATAATAATTATAATTAATGAATTAAAAACAAAATTTTAAGATATTATTGAATAAATATCATCTATCCTACCAAAAAATTATTTTTTATACTTTTTTATTCTACATCTCAATCAACATCACTATCAATATTAAGGTAAGTTATTGATTTTTTCTCAATATTATTATATAAAATTGGTAATTTTATTTATTATTTATTTTAATATTAAGAATTCACCTATTATATTTCTTTAAAATTTATTTTCAATTATTTTGAGATTACTTATTAATTCAATGCCACAAATTTATTAAAATCAGTTAATAGGTTTTTTGACGTACAATCAAAGAAATATTTCGAAATTATTAAACTTATCTATTTCAATTTTTCAAAAGTTTGAATTTTAATGAAAAACAACATTTTTTTCTTAAGCCTAAGACAGTTTTCTTTTTAACAATTTTTTTCTATTTTGTGAGTGTAAGTGAATTGTATCATATTAATGTAACATAAAAAAATTAAAAATTACAGTTTAATAATTTTAAACATATTTATCCAAATTAAGCAAAAAGTACATTTTCTAAATCTAATCATTTTAATGTTAAAAAAATTCACTTTTAATTAAAGAATTTTAATATATTTAAATGATTACAAGTTTATTCTAAATGTTTAATTTCAATGACACATTTAAAATTAAAAAATGAAAAAGTTATTAAGCTGAAATTAATTTTAAAATATTAAAAGTATAAAAAAAATAAAGTCGATCCTGCCAGGATTCGAACCTGGAATCTTCTGATCCGTAGTCAGACGCGTTATCCGTTGCGCCACAGGACCCATTTAACTAACAGGGTGATTCTATTCATTTTGGAGTTCAAAGTAAGAAATCTCATCCTCATAATTTTAAACTTTTTTTTCAGATCTAAAAAATTATCAGTAATCAGTAAGTCGTATAAAAATAATAAATCAATAAGTATATAGACTTACGTAAAATATAAAAATAAGCCTGAGGTCGATGATATCACAACTTAAAGAAAAAAAAAAAAAAAAAACTAGGCCCAAGAAAGTCTGACAAAAAGTAAAGATGAGAGGATAAAACAGGCAAAGAATGATGTTAGGGACGTGTTATGAGGTCAGAGGAAGAGGGAGACGTGCTTATCGTATATCGGCTCCAACTAGACTCAATGTCTTTTTTTACCCCTCATCATTTCTCTCTCACTCTCTTTTAAACTCTTCCGACTAGCGTTCACCCCTACTAGCGCACATTTCTGTCTCTGTATTGCAACTAACAACCCCCCTTTCTCCTTTCTCTACTTACGTTCTACCGGCTGACGTCCGCGAAAAAAGCACGTCGCTGAATTGCGTTATGTTACCAGTACATAGTACAACTACCCAAGGAGAAAAGATGTCACAATCTAAGATAGACAGCCCTATAATCTAATTTATCAATCAATATGCCTCAATTTATTTTGGAGCATCCAAAAATTTATCATTCGGATATTGGATTTAAAAATTTTCACTATACTTCTTCAGTTCTAAAATGATTATAAAAAATTGAATAATAGTTTTTGATTTAAGTTTTTAGTTTATTTATATTTAAGCTAACGAAGAAATGAATAATTTGATGATATCAAAATTGAATTAAAGTAAAGTTAAAAATAAAATATCAAAGGGTTTTATTTATAGTTGTAATTATATAATACTATATTTAATGTAATAATATATATGGATAACTGACGTCATATAATCATTAAATATTGGGGTAAGTTCAATAGTACATAAGGTGTTGGTAACTTACTACTACCAGGAATAGATGAGTGGATAACTGGAAATACTCGAGTCCCTGTTGGAAATAAAGTTGGGTGCCATCTCGCACTCCACGTGTATAGACTTTAAAGTACGAGAAAAAGTATTCAGGAGTACAAAGAGAATATATTTATATATATATATATATATCTGTCTATGGATATATCTATACATATTTGAGTAAAACTCGAGTCAAGAGAGATGTAGTTGCTTCGTCAAGTCATTCGAATACACTTGAAACATTTCAAGGGGAGAAGGCCAGCGAAATTTTCAACACTGTGCCAACAATCGATTCCTTTTCGCTATTAATTTCATCGATAATGTATTCTCTTTTTTCTTTTTATAGTCTCATTTTTGTTTAATAAAACAATAGATACATCAACAATAATAATAAACAATAATAGCGTTTAAAATATTCAAGAAAACTGAAATAATGACCTGAATTAAATTTTATTATTTTGTAGTAATATTAAAGCGTTCGTGTCTCTTAATGTATAAAGGTAAGTATGCGTTTAAAAATGCATTTTTACCATTAGGGTCAAGCGATATTTTATCTAATTTATGAAATTGATTTTTACAATAAAATTATGTAAAAGAGTTTCTTTCTGAGTTATTTAATAAAAATTGTTACAAGCTTAAATTATATACACTTCTCACAAAAATTAAGGGAGCAAGAAAAAAATCCAAATTTTTGGGGGATTTTCAACAGGCTGTAACTTATACAAAAATGGTCGTACAGCAAAAAAAAAAAAAAGCAAATTGTAGCTCTAAGTGTCTAGTTTTTGGATCTGAGTTTGAAAATTGTTTTTCGAGTAACGGACTTGGAAAAAATTTTTTTGACTTAACCTTCATATGGACCGGATAACTTGTTTATTCAGCTTTAATTTGATTTTTTTAAAATTTCGATACGAGCATTTCTCGCTGAAATATCGGTGTTTGAACGGAAAAAGATCATTTTGTATTTGATTACCAATATCTCAGCAACCAATGATCGCACAGAAATTTCAAGGTTGGTTTCAAAAACTTGAATAAATTCTCCACAAGGATTGGCTATTGATTTTTGAAAAAAAAAATTTGTTTCTATCATTACATGAATTTGAAAAAGCAACCAAAAAAGGGCTTTTTGTGGTTTTTTGGAAAATCAAGCGGCCAATCAAAAATATTGCGGAAACCATTAATATAATGTTAAGTGTGCCTTTTACTGTTCAATATACCCACAAAAACCTTATGAAGTTTCAATTTAATCCAGCCAACCGTTTTTTTTGCCACTTGATTGAATTTTTGAAAAAATTAAAGAAGCAAGAATTTCGCTCTGAAAAAGCCATAATTTTTATTGAAATGAAAAAAAAATTTTTTCTTTATTTTTTTTAAAAATCTGTTACTTCGTAAACTTCCAAAAAAAAAAATAAAAAAAAATCGAAAATTTTTTGAATTTTTTTTCATTTGAACCAATAAATACTAAAAAAAAATGACTTGATTCATGACAATGAAACTTCCAAATTATTTTCTTCTTAAATCAAGTTATTTTTTTTTTTTCTGTAAAAATTTTAAATATGCTTTGTAACGGGATAGATAGATAAATGTTTTATTTTATGCCAAGGTCAGATGGCCAAATGGTAAATAACAAAAAATGTATGATAAATATTAATGTATGATTTTTATACTTATAAAGCTTATAATATGTAAAATAATAATGGCTGTAAATAAAAATGTATATAACTCCAATTAACTATCATTAAATATTTTTAAATACATACTTTGCTCACTTAAAATTTAGTTTGTTTCGATTTGGTTGTTAATGAAGATATTTTTATATGCTTGATTAACCAATATAACAGGTAATTTTCTTCACAATTTATTATATCTGATGGCAGCTCCTTCCTCTTCAATTTTCATATGATTTCATATGACAGATAAATTTAATACAAAACATTGTATATTAAAAAGATATTACTTATTAAATATTAAGATATTACTTTACATATATTAAAAAGAAAAATTCCTAATAAAAATATAGACTATTATTATGGAGCTAAAAAAATAAAAATAAAAAACATTGAGATAAAATTAATTATTACATTGATGTAAGCAAAAAATGTTTTGCCGAGTAGACAACTTTAGAATTATATCCGATCCTATCGCTTCTTAAGATGTCTTCGGAGAGATGACGTCATCATGCGCCAAGAATTGACGCTTGCATCGATACTGAAACAGTGTCATTATATATAATGTATATATACATTAATATTGAACGATGTCCTCATTGTACTTGAAATAAAGTAATAAGAAAAATATATTTCATGTCTATGAGTTAGCTGTAATTTAATTTAACTAGTTATCATTATTAATAGACCTGTAGATATTTTTATAAAGAAGAAGATGATAAAATTTCCATTGTGATTATTGAAATAATCACTCAGCAGTAGTACTTGATAATTAAAGTAACATTGTCATTGGTGTTTTTCAAGTATATTTAAGAAGTTTAAAGTATAATAAAAATATCTGCAAGCTTTTTGTTTAAAATGAGTCACTTGAAAATTTATAACCCCGGAAACCTTCAGTTATTTTAAAAATTATTTAATTGATCTTATTTTAAAATGATTAAAGATTCTTTGTATTTGATAATGATAGTTCTTTTGCGTTAAAATTAATATAAAGATAATTTTGAATCTGAGTCTGATCAGAAATAAAAATTTAAAAATAGTATTTCTATTAGACAAAAGAAGAAAAGTCAAGTGTACTGTATTAAAATCGCATGAATACGAATGTTGAAGAATAATAAAAAATCTCTTAGTAATTATCATTATAATTCTTAACTATATGATAATTGCGAACATTGTGTATGGATAAAAAAGTAGAAACTTTGTGAGCCCGAATACATTTCTCTAGCACCGGAGATACTTATCCTTAAGTTTCCTTGCTCTTGTTCATCATCTTCGTCCCTGAGAATCATCAGATCCACGTTTTTAAACAACTCACGAATCATTTGTACATCTATACAAACATAAGTATATTTAGTATACATCTACACATACAACATACATATATTGTGCTGAAATCTTTAGTACTATCATTCCCTGAGGAAGCAACCCTTCTCTTTGAGAATATAGCCACTCAACTACAACTGGGCTTTATATTCACGGCACAATTTCAAAGATCGATCCATTGAGCAGCATCTTCGACGGTAACTTTCCCAATGACGTGGCAATTAGACTAATTGTATACTATATACAACAATCTATTTATAATACTTATTATTTCATCACTATTTCTTTTTTTTTTTTTTTATGAGTAAACTTATTACGAATCTATAATTACGAATTTTTAGTACTCTTTAATTTTAAAATTGAAGCAAATCTGGAAGATCTTGAATTTTTATCGAAAATAACAGTTTTAAACTCAATTTTTAGTTTAAATTTATTTACAACTGATTAGTCTGTTTCAACTTTATCCGTAGCATATTAAAAAAAAATTTCAGCCATTTAAAATGAAAAAAAAAAAAAAATAAATAAATATAAAAAACAGAGATGATAGATTTCTTCAATTCTAGCACAAAATATTTTAACCCATGCTAATAATATTTAGGGTTTTTTTTTAATAATAAAATATTTTTTTTAAGCTTATAAAAAATAGAATAATTTTCAAAAATGTTTACTTGTTAATAATAAAAAAATTTTGTTAAAGAAATGATGAATAAATAAATAAATTAAGATTTTCGAAAAATTGTTTATTATATAGACATGAAAAACAGAAAAAATCACTAGACTTATGTAAACTCATGTTATTAACAATTTTCGGTAAAACTAATTGAAAAATTAATTTTCACAAATTTTCATGATTATAATCATAAATCCTATGTAGAATAGACTAATTAAAATTTATTTTTTGATTTTTTATACAAAAAAAAAAAAGATGACCTTGAAATTAAGCAATTATCAAAAAGTCTTACATCCTCATTAAAATCAAAAATATTTCCAATATATAAATTAAAGTATCATAGAAACATACGCAGATGTATCTACGCCAAGCATTGATATTACCGGCTCTTGAAATTCAGACTCGTTATTTTTTATCAGATCAACGCAAATAGTTCATAAACTAATATCATTAATTATTATTTTATTATTTATTAAATAATTCCGAGACTAAAAATAATAATAAAACAGAATAGTGGGAGATATACTGCATTGAAGTAAATTGAGGAGAGGTTGAGGGTAAGGTATTCCAGAGGGATTATCACTACGGAATTTAGTTTTATTATTTCATTCTATTTGCTGTACTTTCATCCCACATTCGAGCCCATCTTGGTAACATATATTGGAACCAATGACTGGTAACAGGGGTGAGAATATTTAGTAACTAAAAGTGACTGGTAGGACGATGAGAGGTTACCGTTAAAAAAAAAAAAGATTGAAAAGAAAGGGTAGATACACTTTAAAGCTTTTCCGCCTCTTTTTTACCACCGTCACCACCCTTAGCTCGTCAGTGCCTACTCGGTAGCTCTTTAAATCTCCCACTACCAATTGTGCAACTTCTGCAAAATCTCTGCAAGAAGTTTCAGTCGTTGAATGTGTCTCCTCGCGACTAGTTACCAAAAATTCACTAATTTAAAAACTTTGTCATAATCATTGTTAGTTTTTTGATTGTGTTCAACAGTAAAAGAAAAAAAAAAAAAAAAATAAAATAAAAAAAATTTATGAGTAAATTAACGAAAAAACACGTGATGTGTACACATAGTTTAAAAGTTGAATAAATAAACAATAAATTTATTTAAATAAAAGTGATGTCAAGATTTTGGGAACGCGGCTCGGCCGCGTACACGGATGTTCATCTTCTCATTTATCTTCTTCTACTCACTGGGTTTCTCATCAACGATACGTACGCTCAGTAAGATCGCTTCTGTAGTCATGGCAGAACATTTTTGTTTTATTAATTATATAGTGTTTATTTAAATTAAATATTTTATTTATATTTATAGAAGAATAGCAATCAGGCGCAATTAATTTATTGTAGTCACAATAATTAATTAGTTAATAGTTTTGTAAAATATCTTGCAGGAAGAGTTTAGAATTTTATGATCTTCTACCAGAAGACCCGAAATTGTATGACAAAATGAGACCGCCTAAAAAAGATGGACAAGCGACTACGGTTTTTTTTCATGTTACTGTTATGGGTCTAGATTCTATTGATGAAACTTCGATGGTATTATTTTTCTAAAATAATTCATATGAATATGAATATATTAAAATTTTTCATTAATATTTAATTTATTAGACTTATGCTGCTGATATTTTTTTCGCTCAAACATGGAAAGATAATAGACTGCGACTTCCTGAGAACATGACTTCTGAATACAGGTATTTAATCATTTTTTATATTTGAAATTAATAATATTTTTATGATTAAAAATAATTTTTTAAAAGATTACTAGAAGTTGACTGGCTGAAAAAAATGTGGAGGCCTGATTCGTTCTTCAAAAATGCTAAATCGGTAACTTTTCAGACTATGACCATACCCAATCATTATTTGTGGCTTTACAAAGACAAGACTATTTTGTATATGGTCAAGTAAGATTGTTTTATAATAATTTTATTTCGTAATTTGTTATTTATTGATGATTGTTGTTTGTTCAGGCTAACGCTAAAGTTATCATGTGCCATGAATTTTTTAATTTATCCCCATGATACTCAAGAATGTAAGCTTCAAATGGAGAGTTGTAAGTAAAGATAATTATTTTTAATAAAAATCAAAACAATTTTTCTTCTCCATCTTCAGAACTTTGTATCATACACGGAGAAAAATTAATTATACTACCTACTATACAAAAATAGTAACTCCTACTATCTAAAATGGTAATAAAATTAATTAGTAACAAAATAATAGGTAGTATCATTGACAATTGTAATAGTTACTATTAATAATGGTAACGATTACTATCAAAAATAATAATTGTAATTATTATAAATTATAACTGTTACAATCAAAGATGGTAACTGTAACCATCTCAAATTGTAAAAATTCTGAAAGAAAAAATAATACAAATTTACTTAATTAAATCCTTTATTTAGATCCATATTTTAGATAATGTACATTTTTTTCTTTGAAATATTAAAATAATTTAAATTCCTGTCAAAATTTTGTTTTTGGAAATTTGATTTTTTAATATTAAAATATTTTGAATTCCCTTTAAAATTTTTTTTTGAAATTTTGATTTTTTTGGAAATTAAAAATTTTTTTTCAAAAAGAAATGCATCCACGGTAACGCAGATTCTTAATTTTTTAAATATTTTTTACTAGCTTAGATAGTAATTATTATTATTATTATTATTATTACTGATGGTAACTACAACCATCAGATTATATTAGGAATTACGATTTTGATGAAATAGTAGTAACTAATTAAAATAATAACAGTTATTATTACTGATTACCATCATAATAGTAGTAGTTACCATCAGGATATTTAAATAATATTTACTACTATCGAATTTATATAGTTAATAGATTTTAACATAACTAGATAATAAACTCTACTATAAAATTTTCTCCGTGTAGTAACATAAATTCTGAAAGAATAAATTTTTTTATGCCTCTATGATAAAATACTTGGGTTTAATATGGATGTATAATAATTAATAGCATACACTATTATATCATCTGTAACGTGAAATAATAACATGTAATATAAATATAAGCATAAAAAATAAAATATAATTTTATAAAATAAGATTGAATAGAAAATACGTAATTAACAAACTCGGTCAACAGTGTCGCACACAACGGATGAAATGATCTTCCAGTGGGATCCAGACGTGCCCCTAGTTGTTGATGAGAACATTGAGCTACCACAATTGCAGCTAGTTAAGAACTATACTGCAGACTGCACTCAAGTTTACTCAACGGGTGCGTGCTATTTATTGATAATGCTATTTAATAATAAATTATTAAAAAATGGAACGACTTACTGTACTGAAATTTATTTGACTAGGTAATTTCACGTGTCTTGAAGTAATATTTGTGTTGAAACGACGACTCGGATACTATTTGTTCCACACATACGTACCTACGTGTTTGATTGTCATCATGTCGGTAAGTTAATTATTAATTAAATTATCAATTGAATTGTTGTGGATTTTGATTGATAAATTGCTTACAGTGGGTGTCATTTTGGATAAAACCAGAGGCCGCACCAGCTCGAGTTACTCTTGGCGTGACATCTCTGCTGACATTATCAACGCAGCATGCAAAAAGTCAAGCGTCTTTGCCTCCTGTTTCGTATCTAAAAGCGGTGGATGCTTTCATGTCTGTTTGCACGATATTCGTGTTCATGGCACTTATGGAGTATTGTTTAGTGAACATTGTGCTGGGTGATAATGATGCTCCCTCAGCACCTAAACCACCTCCCCCGCCTCCGGCCACCACGTCAACCAGCACTGGTGATACTAAGCTTGATAAAATATTTGATATTGCTTCTAAGGTAATGCTTGAATGATAATTATTTTTTATTGTAATATAGCTTCTGTGCCTCGGTGAAATTATAATTTTTAAGAAGATATTTACTTTGTGAGATTAATTATTAACTTAATTTTACTTTTGCCAACTCAATTTTTCGTTTTTATTTTACTATTTAAATTTTTTGGTGAGCTAATTTTAATCGTATTTTATCGTATAAAGATATTACTACATACTTCTTTCATATTAATAGTTTAGTATTATCAAATTGCAAGCTCTATTTATTAAATTTAACTATATAAAAATATTTAAAGTCATTTTTAATAAAATTCTGCTTATAAAAAATATGAATTTATTATAAAAATAATTAGATCGCAAAGTTTTTACAAAGTTTCATACATAGCAATCGATATTACAGATTTTTATAAAAATCTACTTACTGACAATAAAAAATTGTTTTTTAAGTTTTACTTATCGTGCAAAAGACAAAAATAATTTTCGAATCATAAAAATTCATTGCATTTATTGGCTTCAAATCGTTGATCAAAAATTAAATTTTTAATTTTTAAAAACTCAATAAATTGCATTTTTTCGACTTTTAAAAAACAGATAAATTATCAAAATAATAATTATTCATGGAATAATTTGCATAGAAAACGATTTGATATAAGTTAATCAATTAAGAATTGTAAATCGATTCTGAGCAGATTTTAAATATTTATTTTTTTATTTCTTCTTTTAATATCTCTCGTCTGTATTTTTGATGAAACTTATCAATTTCATAAATTATAAAACAAGTCATCTTCTTACTGAAGAAAAATTATCAGAATTAAAATATAATTTAATATTAAAATTAAATGGTGATATGATAATTTCAAGTCTACTAAATTTACATTTTGATAATTCAAATTAAATATAAGCCATTTAATATTAAATGACAATCAGAAGGTAAATGTGCTCTTAATAATCAATAGTTTATTAGCAATAATAATATAAAAATCAAAATGATAATGATAGTTACAATTGAATTTATTCATCGAGGCATAGAAGATATTCAGCAATAAACCCTGTAAGTTCAAAAGTTGTGATTACTGTCACACAGGAGAACGCAATGTTATTATCGGGTCGGTCACAGAAGTCTGCAAATTTAGCACCACCACCAGGTCTTACGCCTGCTCAAAAAGCAAGATTGCGAGCCCTGAACATTGATCGAACCTCAAGAGTATTTTTCCCAGCTGTCTTTGCTTTACTTAACATCACTTACTGGATAATTTTCGCTAAATACATCTAGAACAACAGGCGAGAACAATATACGACATTACCAAATATATATGTTACATTTGTGCATATGTATGTCTTCAACGGTTTCGCCGCTGCCGTCCGAAGTCCTGTCGTCTAATAAACTATATTATTTTAATTCGTACTTAATAATTATCAAATAATCATTTATTAGACGTGTTAATAATAAATGATAAATAATATTGAATAATTTATTGCTAATGTTTGTTAATTAATGTTTAAAAAAGATAATATATAAATAATATATTAAATAACGTGATATTATAATATTCGGCTTTAACGACTACTGGATAGTTTTATATTTATTATTTGATTTTATTCTTTATTTATTCGCATAAAAATCTTCAACTTGATTCGCATATAAGATGAATTAGCTTTTGCTTACACAAATAAATTCATCATCTAAACAATTATTCAATATGTTATCATTTTTTCTGTTTATTTGTTTTGCTATTTTTTAATAACGATGATATTAAATAATTTAATACCTAATTTTAAATGCGATTATAAATATTTAAAATTTAATTAGGAGATAAATTAATAATTATGGATAAAAATTAACAGACTCTTCAATTAAAATGAATTAATGTAAAATATGAATTTAAAAAATAAATAAATATCTATTATGAATATTTATGGGCTTTGTGTATTTTTTTGTGTTTTTTAAGAAAAACACGTCCACTGAGCAAATATTTCAATAAATTTGGACTGAATTTTATTTTGAAATTTTTTCTTAAAACGCTCGTGAGCACATTAATGAATTAATTGATGCATGTTATTATTAAATTGTTACTAGATTTTTTTTGCAATTTCAAATGATGATTCTTTCCTGAGTTGACATTATATACAATGACTACTCATGTGGAAAAAAACAGTTGAGTGCACTCTATAAGTATAGACGCTAATTATAGACAATAGTTGTCCAGTTGTTTTAGTAAAAAAATAAAATAAAAAAATCGGTGTTTGAAACTGAAACAAAAAATAAGTAAAGTTGAATGAGAATGATACTAGTACTTGTGTACGCAAAAGACAAGGAAAACGGAGGCAATGGCATGTTATAAATTATTATCATAACCGGAGAGAGATAGCTCTAGATATCAACCCACGCTTCTCTTCCTTCCTCTTTACTCTATACATTGACTATTACTTTAAAAACTACTTTTTTCGTGTAATGTATATTATTTAATAGTCAATATTTGTTATATTAATCAATAAATATTTCAAACACGTGCGAATTTTATTATTCATCTACTTTTTACAAATGTTATGTTACTTTTGTCTTTAAGCTTTGAGTTTTGTAAATTTTTTTATCAAAAGATTATGATGTAACTTAAAAACTCGTTGATTACAATTTTTTTATTGTATTTTGAATAACCTTAATAATATCTATGATTTAAGAAATAATGATTTCAATTCAATTTAGTATTTTTGAAGTTCTTAGTAGAAAAAGTTGAATCACAATGTAATAAAATTTGATTAAAAATTTTTGGCGGCGCACTTGACTCAATCGGTTTGCATCTTTATATAGTTATAAAAAAATTTTTAAGTGACCCATTTTATACTCTTTAATTTTATTAATAAAAAATTAAGTCACTCCATTTCACTTTTACCTTAAACAGAAAAATTCTCAACATTATTCAAAATTTATAACCATATACAGAAGGGAAAATGAGTCATTCATTAAAAAAAAAAAAAATAAAAACAATTATATAATAAAGGAAATAAATAAAACTTAAATGCAAGTGTGCTGCATGTGTAAAACATCACCTACCGCATTTTATAACGGGTGTCTTTTAAAACATTTCATTTCCGTAAACTCAAAAAAAAACTCCTCATGAACTAAAATAAAATCAAAAACTCGGTTCTTTATTTCGTTGAATAAATAAGCGAATAAATAGCATGGATTTTTTAAATTTATTTCTGCTTACTGGTATGCAGCATATGCTAAAAATAATATCGAACACCCTTTTTATTAACTTATATCACTATACATGAGTAGCCTTGCAAGATCCTTATTCGGTCAGTATTGTCAGTAAGCTCAGCCTCTGGCTATTTTATATTAAATGCCAATGACCGTATTTTTCATTTATTTATTTCTTCTCATCAAATTAAACATGTAACTAGATTGAAGACATCTCAGCAAGCGAACCTAGAGCATGATAATTATTATTTAAGTAAAAATAACTCGTGTTATTAAAAATTAAAATAAAACGCAAACCTATGGTGAGCATTAAAGATTTAAGTGCCGACACAGGAAACTTACTTGCGTTGACGCCTACGTTCAAAACGAATAACGTTACGATGAAGTAAGAACGAATTAACGCAACAGTAATTTTAAGTGCAAACCTTATGCGCATTTTGATTAAACTTAATTTCTTTAAATTAGCTACATAAGCAATTTTATTAAATTTCATTGAAGTAAAATGAAATTATGAATTCTTAGAATTGGAATCAGAGTTTGGAGTAAAAATATATTTTTTATATTCTTTTAATTTTAGAATAATTTGGTAGGAGTTTGTTAGTACAAGTACAAGGGCGGCCTAGACGCGTAAAAGATTTAAAGGGAGAAGAGTGTTATAGAGAAACAGAGGAAGGTCGGAGGTCTCAAAGATTTCAGGCTCATGAAAAACATCTGGTTTCCCAACCAAGACACTGTGACACTCTTTACTTCTCTGTTCTATGTCTACGATACGACATTTTATGGTCTACAAGACGTTTACTTATATATACCTACATACGTACATATCTATACAAAACGAGTATAGTTTCATAGTCTCATAATAAACTAAGCAGGCCAACGGCCTATAGTCTATGAGTACATTTTTTTTTTAATTTTGGATTTAAAATTTTTAGAAAATTATATTCCATTGATGCCAATGTTGATCATTTTTTTTAAATTTATAGATGTATTCTATTTAATTATTAAAAATAAATTTAAATAATCAAAGATAATAATTTTGAATATTTTGGTAAAGTTTCAAAAATTATTAACGTTGAAACCTATTGAATAATTATTATAGATTGCAAAAAAAATTGCGGTCATAAAAAAAATTGATTAATTATTCAGTTCTTGATAAAAATCTGTTTCAATTTATTAAAAAGTATTATATTTTAAAATTACTCCTAATTCAAAAGTAAATTTATAAGATAAATTAAAAATTTTTTTAATTATACAAAATGAAAAAATAATTTTTAATGATACTAACTTTTACGTTTAAAAAATGAACATATAAAAATAAGAACACACACAGTTTTTATTTGAATATTTTTTTACTTTACTTTTGAAAAATTATTCAAGATGATTGCTAGTTAACAGAAATTTAAAAATTTCCCAATGTTTGAAATGAAAGTAAAACCAATATAATAATTAATGTAGCACATATTTAATAATTTTTAAAAATTTTATAACAAATAAATAATGGCATAAGAAAATAATAAAAAAAATCTGACATTTAGAAATTTAAATAAATAAAAAATGCAATTTTTAGAAAATAATTTTTTGGAACAAATCTTTTTGTTAAATAAAATTAAAAAATTGTCAAGTGACAGCTAACTTTAATGTCATAAAACCAATTTGTTCAATATTTAAAATTTGATAAAGAAATTGCTCCAATTTCTGATTGTATTTATTCATTTATTGTAAAACTAAAAAAAATAGTAAATAATTGATAAGCTATAAAAATGCATGAAAAATTTTTAAATCTTTTAGTCTTTAAAATAATATTTTAAGTTCCAATGAACATGTAAAAATATATAAATTAAAATAAATAGTAAAAAATTATAAAATCTTTTAAAAAAATATAATACTTTGATGCATATATGTGTAGTCTGAGTCTCGGCGTACAGTTCTAAGAGATTTAATCCCTCCCACAGTGTGTCGGTGTTTTACCCCGTGATCCCCCGCAATATGACTAACCTTTGTCAACTCTCTCTAACATCCAGTGAAACCGGACTGTTGATCTTCCTCGACAGCATTTGCTCTCTGGTTTGGCTGTGCGGCTGAGAGCTGAGTGAAGGCGCACATACAGCGTGTATATTCTGTAGTGTGTGCTGAGAGTGCTGCAGCCGCTAGCTGCTTTGGAGCGACAGCGTGAGTCGCGTCTAACTAAATAAAAACTATTCTCCGTATACTCGCATTTTTAGTTTATTATTTTTATTTTTGTGTCCAACTATATCTTCAGCGCTCGAAACTTTTGTTATTTATTTATTGCTCCGCAAAGGTGATTTTAAACTGGTGATCACGTACAGTACCATACTCATACTCATTACATGTTATTGGAAATAACGTAAACAAGTATTGTGAGGATCTAGATCTATTTACAGGACTAACGAGTCCAGATTAGGTGGGTGATCTAATGTTATTTAAATCGATACCTATAAAAAGTATTTTATTATTTTACTGTGCGCTTTGGTTACATTTAAAATTAATAAGTGCAGTTTTTCTTGCTCACTACGTATTTTTTTTTATTATACCTATACTTATAATGATAATAACAGAAATAAGTAAGTAAGAGAAAGAGAGAGAAAGCAAGAGAAGAAGGTAAAGAATGTTGAAGTTAAAAAAAAAATCGTCAGCTAATTTTATGTCAAAGATTTCTCTATTTTGATAATAGTTTGAAAAATTTTTTATAATTATTTGAATTCACTCTCATTTATAGTTAATTGTAAAATTTTTCTAACTTATTTCTAATCAGTCATGACAATTAATTATATTTAAATTAGTCACTTGTTTTTTTTTTCAACAAGAATATATTAAATTAATCATACGGTCACTTTCACGTGCGGTTATATATTTTTTAATTCATTGATAACTTAAATCTTGTATTACTTAATACCCTGGGGCTATTGTATCTCCTCTCTGATTCGCGACTTTATCATACAGGAAATAAAAAAAATAAATTTAAAAATACTACACTAAAACATGTAATTTTTATGAAATTATATTTATCTATTTTTAAATTTTATCATCAATTATGTAATATAACTAATTAATTTTTAGATAGAAGCAGACATGTTAGACCGTTTGAATTAAACAGAAGAAACGTATCGATTCTGAAATAATGAAAATGAATACGATACGATTCACAGCGGCTTTCCTGCTGTTCGTCTTCACTATCGGTAAGTCATATTAAACTTAATGGAGCAATTGAAATAAAGTAATGAATGGTGAAAGAGAAATATGTGATATGTGATAATTAAAAAAAATAAAAAAAGTTAAAATGAAGAAAAAAAAACATGTGGTTACGTAGAGAAATGATACCCAAGAACAGCTTACTTTCTATTCGTTACCCTCTTTAACAAAAAATTTTTTATCCGACGATTAGATACGAAGACCCCTTGACCCCCTGTTTCCGTTGGACCCTACAGTTTTATTTCGATTCTTAAAAATCGAGTGGTCCATCAAATATTTACGCATGTTGATAAATTATTTGTTATAAATTATTGAACTTACTCTGTAACTTGATATACATGACACCTTATGAATAATTACAAAAAGCCAAATTGCACTTTTCCTGAAAATAAATATCAAATTATTAAAATATTGCGTAAAATTAGTAAATTTATTCTTCATAAAAAAACTTTAATTACATGATATTTGATTAGACTTGAGTATCAACTGTTCAAAGAATCGTCACAAACATCCGTTTATATTCGCGATAATTAACAAGATTAAAATATTTCATTTAAAATAAAATTATAGAGGAAATTCTATTTTTTTTTTTTTTAATTATCACTGTCATAAAATTTACTTTTTTATAATTGCATTTAAAATAAATTATTTATTTTTTTCAGATTCTACCCATGGACAGTACAACAGGACGTCAGCACGAGGTAATTAATATTGAAACGAATAAAAATAATTTTAGATAAATATTTAATAAGAAAGTTAGCAACGAAGAATATTAAAAAAGATTTACAATAAAAAGGAATAAATATAAAAAAAGCTATGAAATAATAAAAGGGAATAAAATGAAGGTGTTATAGGATCAGTACAACGTGGAGACATTTCATCATCAGATGGATTAACTTATCATGGGCCCATGAGAATAATCGCAAGGCCTAGAGGTAGCTTTGCTCGATAGTGAGCAATAAAACCACAAAAAAAAAAAATATAAAAAAATAAAACATGCACATTAATAAAATTAATATTAATAAAAACCTTCACTTGGTTAAGGTGTAGTTTTAAAATGTGCACGGAACTAATAGTACAAATTTCCCAGTTAAACATTTAATTTACCAATCAAATTTAATGTTAATCACCATGTAGACACGGAGTTGGGTGTACTTGTTGTTGAAATAATTTAAATTAAGAAAATATTAAATAATTTATTATCGGTGTAGGTCCATTCCCAAAGAGACGTCATCCGTGTGAGCAGAGTTCTTGTTATCCGGCGACAGGAAATCTGCTGATAGGAAGAAAAGACCGTTTATCTGCGTCATCAACTTGTGGTCTTAATGGCCCAGAGAGATTCTGTATAGTGTCTCATTTGAAAGACAGAAAAAAATGTTTCTTCTGTGATGCTTCTAATCCAAAACAGCAGCATAATATTACTAACATTGTTGGAGGGTAAGTTTATGAATTTATTTTTTTTTTTCCTATAAAGAATCATAATTCATATCATACTTAAATTTATAAAATAATTTAAATATAATTTTTCATCTTTGATTAATAGCTGATTTAATTATTTAATTTTCAGTCCATCACGTCGTTTATGGTGGCAAGCAGAAAATGGGGTTGAGAATGTAACGATATCCTTTGATTTAGAGGCAGAATTTCATTTCACCCATTTGATAATACGTTTCCAAACGTTTCGACCGGCAGCAATGTTGATCGAACGGTCACATGACTTTGGAAAAACCTGGCAAGTGTACAGATACTTTGCACACAATTGTGAGCAATCGTTTCCTGGTGTTCCAACTCACCAGCCAGAGAAATTAACAGACGTTATATGTGAATCACGTTACTCATTTGTCGCTCCATCGACTGGCGGTGAAATAATATTCCGTGTACTGCCGCCAAATTTGCAAGCTGTAATAGACAATCCATATTCAAAAGAAGTTCAGAATTTAATGAAAATGACAAACCTGCGTATCAATTTCACAAGATTGCACACTCTCGGTGATGATTTACTGGACGATAGACCGGAGATTAGGGAGAAGTATTATTATGCCGTGCAGGATATGGTGATCCGTGGTTCTTGTTCATGTTATGGTCATGCTTCCGCCTGTCTTGAGTTGCCGGGAATAGCTAATGAGGATGAAATGGTACATGGACGCTGCGAATGTACGCACAACACCAAGGGATTGAATTGTGAAACTTGCCAGGACCTTTACAACGACGGGCCATGGAAACCTGCAGTTGGTAAACAAACGAACGCTTGTCGTCGTTGTAATTGTAACAATCACGCTCACTCTTGTCACTTTGACGAAGCTGTTTACGAAAAATCCGGCCGGATTTCTGGAGGAGTTTGCGATGATTGCCAGCACAATACTCGTGGACAGAACTGCGAGCAATGTAAACCTTTCTTCTATCATGACACTACCAGAAATATAACTGACCCAGAAGCATGCCAGCCGTGCGATTGTGACCCTGGAGGTTCTTTGGACGATGGAATTTGCGATCCACGAACTGATGTACTGACTGGCGAAGAGTCAGGTCGGTGTCACTGTAAGCCAAATGTCGAAGGTCGTAGATGCGATAGATGTAAGAACGGATTCTGGAACTTTGATCCTGAAAATCCAGATGGTTGTCAAGCATGTACTTGTAATATTCTGGGTACCATTGACAACCAAGGCTGCAACCAAGTAACTGGAGAATGTACGTGTAAGCGATACGTCACTGCACGTGATTGTAATCAGTGCTTACCGGAATACTGGGGACTGTCCGATGATCATGACGGCTGCAAGCCTTGCGATTGTGATCTTGGTGGTTCATACGAATCTACCTGTGATGTTCTCACGGGCCAGTGTCGTTGCAGACCTCACGTCGGCGGTAGAACTTGTGATCAGCCCGAGCAGAGTTACTACACCGGATCATTAGATTTCTTGGTTTATGAAGGAGAATTGGCAGGCGCTACTGATGTAATAATAATAATAATAATAATAATAATAATAATAATAATAATAATAATAATAAT